ACAGCCCCTCACTGCCCCCCAAACCTCTCCCCAGGTGCCGTCCCCCCCGTCAAGGACCAGGCTGTCTGTGGCTCCTGCTGGAGCTTTGCTACCACGGGGGCCATGGAGGGTGCCCTTTTCCTCAAGGTGAGAGCAGGGACGGGCCCCACGGCCGGGCTGTCTGGAGGGTGCTGGTCCCCGTCCCCACGACGTGTCCCCCCCGCAGACTGGGGTGCTGACCCCCCTGTCCCAACAAGTCCTGATCGACTGCTCCTGGGGCTTCGGGAACTTTGCCTGTGACGGGGGCGAGGAGTGGAGAGCCTACGAGTGGATCAAGAAACACGGTGGCATCGCCAGCACCGAGTCCTATGGCTCTTACAAGGGGCAGGTGAGGGTGGCCCCATGTCCTTGGTGGGGTCCCTGAGATCTCCGGATGGACCATGGGGGGTGATTGGGGTCAGTCAGAGGTGCTAATGGGCTCTGGAGATGGGGAGGTCACCTCCATCCTAAAGCACCACTTTGGCCTGTGGTTGAAAGCACAGGCCAAAGCCCCAGGGCTCAGCTGGGTGGTTTCATCACCTCGTGCCTCAGTTTCTCCTCTTGCAAAATAGAGACAAGGCTCCTCCACCCATGGGTGGTGCCACGGGTCCCTCCGTACCCTGGGGTGCAGGAATGGAGCAGGGCTGCCTGGGGACAGGGCTGTGGCTGCAAAACACAGGCAACAGCCCCCCAGAGCTGTGGGTGTGGAGTCAGCTCCCCCCACTGTGTGTGGGCAACATTATGTCCCTGCAGCAACTGGGATGATGTCCCCACCGTGGTGGGCAAGAGAGGACAGAGGGACCAGAGCCAGGACCTTGTCACAGCCTGAGTCCCAGATCACTCCCTGTGTCAGAGCAGCCACAGTGGGCAGGGTCCCTGGGAGGGCACCTGGAGGCTCCAGATGACCCAGTGTCCCCCCCTTCCCCGTTTGCCCCAGAACGGGTTGTGCCACTACAACCAGTCTGAGATGCTGGCCAAGATCACGGGCTACGTCAACGTCACCTCGGGCAACATCACGGCGGTCAAAGCTGCCATCTACAAGCACGGCCCTGTGGCCGTCAGCATCGATGCCTCCCACAGGACCTTCTCCTTCTACTCCAATGGCATCTACTACGAGCCCAAGTGTGGTGAGTCAGGTGGCACGTGGGGCACAGGAGGGCCTGGGTGCCCAAGGAGGTGCCAGGATGTGGGGGATCCGCTCCTTGGTTGAGCATCTTGGGCAAGGGTGGAAGAAGGGACTGGTCTGGGAGCCCTCCCAGCAGGCAGCCCAGGGAACAGGGGTGATCTCTGGGCAGGGATGATCTCCAGATGAGCCATCTCCCATGTCATCCCCTGCAGCAAACACACCAGGAATGCTGGACCATGCAGTGCTGGCCGTGGGCTACGGAGTCCTTCAAGGAGAGACCTACTGGCTCATCAAGAACTCCTGGTCCACATACTGGGGCAACGATGGCTACATCCTCATGGCCATGAAGGACAACAACTGTGGCGTGGCCACCGAAGCCACCTACCCCATCCTGGCCTGAGCCACCTCTTGGCAGGGAGAGCCCTTGGTGCTGCTCTTGAACCCATCCCTGGATCAGACCCTTTGAGACGACACAAGAAGAAGCTGGGGACATGGTGGGACAGGGCCATGGGGTGCTGGACAAGGGGCTGCGTGGGGACCCAGCTGGGAACTTGCCAATAAACACCCTGGAAAAATATACTGGTTTGCTTCTACTGGAGGGATTTGCCTTTGCAGCCCCCAGTGCCTGCTGTGTGTGACAGGTCCCTTGTCCCCAGGCTTGTTTTCTCTGTTCCCTGGAATGGCAGAGGGGCCTCCTGGGGAGGAGACAGGGCTGCCTGGCAGAGCCAGCTGGCTCTCTCCCAGTCCCAGACACCCAGGGCAAGGGGACCAGCTTTTCCAGCCTTATCTCCTGAGGTGGAGCACAAACAACCCCAGGGATTTCTGCTGAGAGGGGAAATTCCTGCCTTGGGGTGGTGGGGATGGGGGAAAGCAGCAGCCTCTGCCCCACTGCCCTGCTCCCTGGTGTGGCTACGGCTGGGGATGTCACCAGGGGGGCTGCCAGGTTCCCTGTCACCCCCTGGGGCTGCTCCTCTCCAGGGAAAGACACTTTACCCCACGGCCATGGCTCACTTGGGTGCTCCTGGTTTGGATTCCAGCCCTCCTGGGAGAAGGGGGATCCCTGCACCAGGAGCCTGCAGAGAGGGTGGGAAGTTCTTCTGGTGCACTCCCATCCCTACCTTCCCCAGGCAGGATGCACCTTGGGCACTGGTGCCCTGTGATGGCAGCACTGGTGGTCCCCTGGGGAGGTGCAGCAGCCCAGCCCAGTACCCAGGGGTGCAGTTCAATGCAGCCTGGTGGCACGTGTGGCTGAGCCCTTATCAGCTTTGTTTTGGGTTCCCTGTCACCTTGGGCTGGGGGCCAACTGGGTGGGCAGCAAGTGGGAGGGGTGAAGGCCACTCTGCTGTGGTGACACTGCTCCTCTCCTCCCCAGCTCTCTTATTCCTTCTAATCCTGACATTTCATCTACATCTTTCCCCTTTTTGCAATTACCTCCCCCCCAAAAAAAAAAAAAACTGCAGCCCTGGGCTTGCCCTGCGGGGGTACCCAGAAGGGTG